ATTTAGAATTTGGTTTACTACGCGTGGGCTGGTGTTGGAGTAAATAATAAAGCGTGTGAGAGAGAGAGAGCATAACTGCATTCACTGTTTATACTTGCGCGTCACACGCCTACGACTTACGTGAACATGAAACTTCAGATATAAATTAGGCTGTAGTGTGGGCTCTGAAGTTCCGGATGTCCATGGGTGTAGTCGACAAGATGCCCGGTTTTCTGTCTATTTTCTCGCTATTGATACTTTGTTCAAGTGAGTCTCAGAATTTCTTGCTTGTCTATTATACCCAGCTCCCTCTACCTCCCAACTAGTATCTTTATCTCACGCTTGTGCATTTATATGTGATGGAATAGCGCTAAAATATTAGGTCCCAGGATATGATCGTCCCGTTGTCTCCTGAGGCTTAATATAGAGGCTTCGTAGGCAGTCGTATGACGAATAGCAGTAAATGCAGATAATTAAGTACTGACAAAGACAAGAAAGGCCGCAATGTCCATTTCTGGCTCCAGAGTTGGGATTGTGTATGCCTGGCTGACGATGACATATAAGCCAGAAATGACGATTTCGGTCGCTCTTGCCTTTAGTATTACTTCATAATCTATACATATGCACACCTTCATATACATTTTTCCGAAGAACAGCGTTTACTCTTATAAATAAAGGAGATGGGCATAACCATGAAATCCTAATTTTTTGCAAGAAAATGCCCGTTACGCAAACGTAGCTCAAGTTGCGTCCCTCAAAGTCTTAATGATCGTTCATTAAGATAGCGCATATTGCAATTTATCAAGTAATAGTACGTTTTTCAAAAATACCAAATACAATAATAATAACTGAATAGAATTGTATGGTGCAATCGCAAACGCAGCATTTTTTATACAATAAGATAAATTGCCTACCACCACATTTCTTTGTAATTATTTTGGAATTTCTACTAAGACGAGGTTAAGATCATTCTTGAAAGTGTGAATAAAACATTAGGACTTTCACTCTCTTCCGTCGATTGGCCATAAACAAGAAATATGTTCTACGTTCCTACCAAAAAAGGGTTTTAAACATTTTTTTTCTCATACAGCTGTCTGTTTGGGCCATGGTTTTAGAATTACCCAAACATGTGGACTCATTGCCAAGAAAAATGAAAGTCCCCAAGAAAAGTCACGCATGAATATGCCTAAAATCAATTAAAAGGTTTTCTTTAACAAATTACTTTAAATAAAAGCGCCCTCATTAGATATTTCGGCGTCCAATAGCTGCGTACTTCCCTACGAACTAGGCATACATCTTCTGCTGAAATCACTTTCTAGTTTGTTTGACTACTTCTAGGTTCAGTTCTGAGACAGCGACTGCAGAGCAGATAGGCAGAATATCAACGACAATTTTGAGAAATCTAATCGTCTTCTGCCAGTTTCGTTTCGAGTGTTCCATTCATTGATTCTGCTATATAGATAGAAAATGTTTGGACATCACTTGCATACGGCTTAACATAATAAGGTGACGGCATGTCTCGCATGTTTGCATATATGCTTGCTTAAACTCGTAATTTTCGGGGTGTTAAGAAAATTACAACCTTATACGTTTTCTACTTAATTTCATGGCACAATGCTTAGCAGATTTTCAAAAGGGTATTTTTCAACATAATTCGCTCTTCTTCTCTCGACGATAATACCTTATTCCATAAGCGCTTTTACCCCAATTTCGAAGACGTAAAACAAAAATATCTGTTCTCTGAACAAATATAATTAAAACGTTTTTGGTCTCTATTCGTGTTCAGAAACAATAATTTTTTTTCCACAGCGTTTATCTGCGTAGGAAATTCCTTGGATATCAACAAACGTTAGATTACTCCTCATCCTGCCCCTATTTCCTCCCCGTATACTGATCTGATCTGAATTCTTTCCTAGTAAACAGCCTTTTGCACTTTAGGTCAATTCAATGGATCAAATAAAAAATCTCAAATGCGTGTTACATGCCCCAATCAACTTTTGATTTTCACATTTCGTCAGATATACCATCTTCTGTATAAATTTCCACATAGGATATTCAAGATCAATAAATCAAGTGAGTACCATAGAGCATAGGGAATAGTAAGCAGGCTTTTCTTTGCTGCATGCTCCGGAACTGTGCAACCCAAACTAGTTAGGAAACCTGCCCTCTAAGAGATAATTCAGCGGCTGGCCTTTGGGATTCCGACACAACGGTTCCGCCAAGTGGGTTGGGAAAATTCTATCCAGTGATCACTCGAATAATCGATCTCCCTAATCGCCAAGTTGCAAAGTGAACCATCTGCGACCCCCTGATGATGTCAGTTCCTCACAGCTTGGTCAAATAGCAACAAAATATAGGTAACATAAGCCTCTGAACCTTAGGCCAGTAATTCTGCCTTCAGTATGGTACGCCGTACAGAAGTACAAGCATGTTCGCTGATTATGGATCTTCTTATAGGTGCAAAGGTTTTTAAAAGAAGCTCTGAACAATAATATGAGATTCTATACTTATGAAGTTGAAATTAGCCTCTTCTTTGAAGGATAGCTCTTGGATTAAAATTGACTCTCTAAAATATTTAAAATCCTAAAACAGTCCTGCGAGTAACGTCCTAGCTGCCTCTTTTTGGTTCATTTTATAAACCAAAAGACCTATTTGGTATCTATTGCATGCTTTTCCAGTTATGTCTGGCACCTTCTTTGTAGTGTAGACGGAGGTATGATTTAACTAGAAGTGAGGTAGCAGGTACTTTCCAGAATTATTTGGAATTGGAGAACTTCAAGAAAAAACAAGAAGATAACCTATTTTCGAGTGCAATATTTAAATAAGACTTCATTCACTGATGAAGGAGTAAGAGGGTGCGTATTGATATGCATAATAAATACGTTGGCATTCAAGCGAGTACGACCGCGGGAGTCCCTAGGATTATACGCATTTAATAGCCAGCATCATGGCTTCCCTGAAATATCCGGAATCATGCTATTTGATCATTCGTATTCTAACCCACTTTAGTTATCCTGTCTAATCGAACCTGAGCTTCCGAATTTCGGTTAGCATTTCACATGAAACGTCCTCTATACGGGTTATTTCTCAAAATTGTGATCAGAATATCTACCACTTGAAGTAGGCCGAACACCTCTTAATTAAACTCTTTTCGAATTTCAGGCTGCTTAGCGGACATACGATGCCCACAAAACAGCAATCTTTACGTCTATTTCAATGCCGATAAAAATATAACGGTAAGTGACCAGGACAACAATCCCAATCCATGCCGCATTGGCAGCACTCTCCTTCAAACTACTGTTCTTTCACTTTAGGATGTCACGACTATTGTCCCAATGTCAATAGGCTCCGATGAAGCGCCCTGCAAGGCACCCAATTTCTGTTGGCAACTTGTCAGCCGTATGTTATAGATGTCTTTGCATGCAGTGTTATGCACTCATATTTGCCCCAATTTTGATATAACCGCTGCTGTCGGTAATTCAAATGTCTCCTTTTAGGTCGACAATACGCTATTATAGAAGGCAAACTGGCTGGGGAAAATGGAGCTGCCATCTTCTACCCCTTGGACAGGCGCCAGCAACCCGTTGCTCTCGTGTACAAAAGATGGCCGGAGTGGGCGGTGGTGAGCTGCTTTTGAAATGCTTTCCTTACCGGCGGAGATTTTAGAGGTGTTCTGTCATCATGCCTTCCCTCTTTTAGGGCAAACTTATGCATTTGGTCGGGAACTAGGTTGTGGTTGGCACGTGTAGACGGGGCATTGAGTGTTTGTCAGTCACCACGCCAAATCGCACCACTAAGTCTGCAATGGAATAGTCTAGAAAAACCTGTTAAGTTGCACTTTATAGGGAAAATAAATTGAATTTTTCTATAACAAAACTCAATTTGCGGAGTTAAGCAAGTCTTAAATTGGAAAAGAGGCTGAGAGCGAAGTAAGGAGGGTTAATAAATTCGGACTACTATGCCGTGTGAGTTAACTATCCCTCATTAGTAGTCCGCGTTCGCGGATATTACCACCCAATTTAATCAATACAGTATACTTCCTTATTCGTTTATATACCTCAGTTGATCATATATGATTTTTATGTTCTGTTTTAGCCAAGCGAAGAAGATGACAATGAGGGAAATGGCGGGTTCAGTAATAAGCTTTATAGAAGTATTCTTAATGCAAAAATCCTATTGCTTGCATCAATGGACGTTTACTTCTTAGAGTAACTCTAACAATGGAAATTTTAGTATTTTTGTCTGTAAATAGGTGTTACAATGTACCACAACAACAGCCCCGGTACTAACTAAAAAACCCAGCCACGTGATTCACTGGCATTCTAGCGCTGCTTGCCACAGCTGCGAGGCGCTGGTTCACCAATGAGTCCCCCAGCTTTCCCTATAATCTTTCTGGTTGGTATATTGGTTTTGAATGTTCAGATTTTTTCTTTCCTTAGAACACAATTTTTGTTCTCGGTATAGGTAACATTTCGGTCTCTTCATATCAGCATTTAATATACTGATGTACACCAAGGATAGACATTTTAATTTTTAAGGTCACTAAAAAATGCGAACTTTTGAATATGTTTGCATTTGCATTTCCTCTGCCCTATTCTGAGAACCAATACCAGACTGTGCCATCGTGTTCAGTTCGATACAGCTGGCGTTCCTCAACGGGTTTAGATTTGAACGGCGATAATATGCTTTTTAGGTGCCACAGCACTTATCTTAAACATAATTCTTCATAGGCATGACTCGAAAAAATGCGTAAATTGTATGTGTTATAAACCTTGTGTATTCCTATGTCAATACTAGTTTTATCCCCCAGTTACGTGTAAGGAAGCGAAGGCCGAAAGGATAGCCGATAATTCTCTACTGTAAGCGTATCTGCTTGTACATCAACTGTCTTCTGTCTGTCCGTAAGCAGCGTGTCTTCTGTCGTTGGTCTCGTCTCAACAGCAGGGTCACGTGTCGCCAGCAGCAGTGTGTTCTGTAGTCGGTCTCGTCTCCGCAGCTTGTCCTGTGTACTCAGTAGCAGAATGCTCTTTTGTTCGCAACCTCGCTAGTTAAGGGCCGGTAGTCATTTTTCCCTATTGGCCCTTCACGAGTGGCCGATGGAGGTAGCCATCGGCGGTGTACTCAGCGTGACCACCCGATGGCAGAACCCTGCGGCGGTCTCGCATGCGTGTGCCTCCTTGCGTCCTCGCGTAGTGTCCACCGTTTGAAGGTCGCGTTCTTCATTCACCAGTGGCCTGTAAACTTCCTTTGTTTTCGT